GTATTTATACGTATTAATATCGCTACTGTAGAGTATAACCTTTTTATTACAGGTGCATTACTGCATAATTATGTTCCGCTAGCGATTACATCTCGACTTGTGTGTACAGTACTACGCAATGATCAAGTAAAGTTTTTTTTTTTTTTAATTTGAACTTCCCTATATTGCTACAGTGACAAACTATTGTTACATCACGTAGAAAATATTTGCATATATTTACACATCTCTCTCTGTCTCCCTCTCTCTCTTTACTTCTTTATTGTAGAATATCTATTAGTTTCTCTCAGGAGGATTAATATGAAGAATCATGTTGAAATTTCATATTGAACAAATGAAAAAAAGAATGAACTGTTGATGGGAATTTTTTGCACAAAAGTTCTACGTATCCTCTCTTTTAACGGTAGATTGAAATTCACATAGGTCGCTCGGATGACTCAACGATACGATTCATAAAACTGGATATAGAAAATCGATTAAATAACTTCGATACACAATACGAAGTTACATTACAGGTCATGTGGTACATCATGTCAAAAATAGTTGTATGCTACACAGGCTGCTCGTCTTCAGGTAAGTCTAAAATTTCTCCAACAAAATCAGCAACATTTGTGGTTTTTGTAGCGTGTTCTGTGATAAAATTAAGCTCCAGTAACTGATTGTAATTCGGACGGCGTGAATAATCTTTCATTAAACTGTAAACAATGCCAAACAAATGAATAAAGCACTATGCAAATACGTTTCTCTGAAAACAATTTTGCTTACCATTTATCAATAAATTCTTCGAAATTAGCAGAAAATTTGTCAGCTGGTAATTTCGGTGCTTCATCTTTTACCACTTGTTTGAGTTGCTCGAAAGGTGTACCCCAAGATTCGTAAGGGAACTTTCCTGTTGCTAATTCAACAAGAGATATACCTAATGACCAAACATCAGATCTGATGTCGTATTGTGAAGGGTTACCCGACGGGTCTATCCTTTCTGGCTGAAAAAAAGGATACGATGGAGAATTTATTGAATAGATAATAACAGATGCTCGCATCGTACATGCAAAATTTACGTACAGCCATATATGGTTTACAACCAGCATCGATTGTTTTAGCAACAGAATCTACGAGATAACCAGAAATACCAAAGTCACAAATTTTTACTTCTCCTTTCCGGTTAATTAAAATATTACTAGGCTTTACATCTCTATGAATCACACGTAAGTGCGAATACAAATAATGCAATGCACTGACTACCTGTAAATATTCACTGCGGTTAGAATGATAATTAATAAGGTGCTAAACACATGGTGTTAACTATGATCGTTCAATTTCTTTCTTACTGCGAAAGCAATTTTTCCTAAGATATCCTCAGGAATGGCACGGTCATGTTTATACACTTTTGTATAAAATTTATCGAGGCTCATATCCATAACCTCCATGCAGATCCAAACATCGCCTTCTCTAAATAATGCTCCATAAAATTGTACCGTGTACGGGCAGGCTGAACTACGCATAGATATGTCTAAATCCATAAGCAATCTTTTTTGCTCCTGCGTATTAACTGTTGCCGTTATTCTCTACGAAATAAATATGTTTGTTGAAAGATATTTTCTAACTGGTTATAAATTAATAGGTATTATATTATGTGTGATACCTTGACCGCCATAATGGTACCGCTTTGTTTGTGTCGTACTTTATCCACAATACCGTACGCTCCACGTCCCAGAATACAGATAGTTTCTAAATCATCTGCTTCTACTACAAATGTACTTTCTCCGATTGTTATAGTAGTCCTCTTATCTAGATTTCTTGGCGGAGTACTGTGGTATAGTTTATTAAAAGTGAGTAAAAGTTGAAGAAGGGCATCGTTAATATTTCAATGTCCCAATAATACATTCATACATACACGGGCATAGGAGTCCCTTCGGAGACTTGCAGTTTCAAGTTTTTCTTTCGACGTAGAGCCATGATTCGATGGGACAATTAATAAATGTTACTAGGCCTGCAAACTTGGCAGTGTACACAATTGGTTACAATACATGTTTAAATGAATTGCAATAGTTATTGCATACTTGTTCTGTAAATAAATAAAAGGTGCATGTTTTGGCATACTAGGCTTTTATGTTTGCAGAGAATCTCGAAAATCGAAGGTTATGTCAAGTTATATATTTATTGTACGCATAAATGTGAAAACAAACGAATAGAATGAAATCTTTTTGGATAGGATTATTGTGTCATAATATCATTAGAAATAATTTCTATAGTACCTTGTTAATAGCATGACGATATTTTACGACAATAATGTCAAAACTTCAAAGTTCCGTTGCCCATATATGAAGCTTTCAGTAAACTCAAACAGTCACATGAAATTGCTCACACACAACAGATACATACTTCAGTTTTGTAAATTCAATCTGAACTTCTCCGCATACTAAATTATTTCAGGCGCATTATACAAATGTTCAAAACAGAGATGAAAGAATTATTAATGAGAATTTTCTATTAAATAACAGATAATATCGTTTTCTATGAAGGACGTGCATTTTATAATAATTAATGATGTAACATCTTCGTTGTGTTTAGCCATTTGAACACGGTACGTTTACAAATGTTAAAGATTAATCAGTTTCGGACAATTTTACGATAATGCAATACGTGTGAATTATATGTATAGAACAAAAAGCTTGCACATGTGTACTATTTTTATGTGACAATATAATAAAACTACAAACAATAATAACCTTGTTTTGTCAGATCACAGGTATTACAGCCGGTTAAGACTCGGATATATTCAGGATATACGGTTACGTTTATTAAATATGTTAAGGATGATTCTGCAAACTAAAATTATAAAATGAAAATCAAGGTTGACGAAATTGTGATTTTGGCTCGGTTTTCAATTTATGTACATACATACACACATACATACATATGTACATTGCGACTTGAGACAATTCAAATATGCCAATAAGCATGGAGTTGTAGCAGGTGAGTTCTACTCGGTAATGGGATCTACTCTTGCACACTTAGAGGCCGCAGCTTGATCCGTTAGGCGAGGGTTCCGATATAGAAATGTTCTTTACTCTGATTAGCTTACGATTCACACTGGTGAGCGCAGTAAAATGATGGGGATGTGCGCGCCAGCTTAGAGAGTAAGAAAAATGTGTAGAAGTAGGTCTTATTGCTGTATGAAGTACGAGTAGTCTATGGTAGTTTATCAACATTCATGAATGTATGTGTTGACGTCGACATTGGACATTGTTGGAAATTAGAAAATACGAGCGGTTGCTGAAATACAAAATAAAATTATAGTTCATGAAATATAATCAGATGTGTAAAATAATTTTACTGCAACCATTTAATGAAAATGGATAAATCTTGTTGTGTTTGCCAGAAAACAGAATGTTCATACAAGTGTCCCACGTGTAAAGAGCCGTAGTAAGTATATCTGAGGTTATAGTCGTACAATTTGTTACATTAATGACAAGTAGATATCGATACACACGCGATTACTTCGAAGAGTATAATAATCCACGTTCATACGTTTAATATGTTACTCTCGATGTATGTCAATTTGATAATGTTGTAAAATATTACACTTACCGAATCCATAAAAATTTATCTCTTTTACTTTGTTCCTGTTAGTTGCTCCGCAGCCTGCTGTAAATTACACAAGGCTAGTAATTGTGAACGAAAATATCGGCAGAACGAACTTACTAGCGATAAGAAAACAGATTGTAAAAGGTACGATTTTCCTACAGAAGATACCGTGCCTATAGAAAAATTGGAACAATTACGTTCTAACAACGAGTTGAAAAGTATTTTAAATAATCCACACGTACGTAATATTATGCGTGCGATTCTGATCGATGAAAATCCTACAAAAGCGATCGCTTTAGCCATGAGCGAACCAATATTCGTTGAAATGGCGGATGCGTGCTTAAAGGTTGTGGAACTTGCAGAAAATGACCAACCTAGCTAAGATATAGTGTAGTTACGTCCGATAAATTATTAAACATTTTTTACGACGGGCATACAAAAGACAAATCGATGAAAAAAATGTACATTTCCCAAGAAATATCGCGTCGCGTACACTAGGATTCCTAATCGTGCTCAAGCATTTTGTTATTTTATTCGTAGATTATTTTTATAATTAGTATATAATAATTATTTTTATAATTTTCTATCGCTAAATAGAATTATATATAAAATCGTTTAAAATCGTACAGAATCTTTGAAAATATTACACGGTTACTTGAAAAGATAATTTAGGAATTGGAGAAACAAGTAAACTCGTTGACATTGGAAGTTGAAAATTTGTAAAATATTTATTAAACATTATTTTTCGTGGCAGTACTCGAACGTAAAAAGTAATAGTAATGTAGTAATTATAATGATTGAAAATAATAAAACTCTCCGAAAAATACAAATTACATCTGTAGAAAAAGAGTAAATAAGCAAACGTTTTTTTGTACAACATTCGTATATGTACAAATGAAAAGATATGTACTTGAAAAATTTGTTAACAAAATTATTGTGCAGTGTGAAGAATTTATTTCTAAAGTTCCGAGTGATGAGAATGACGGAATGTAATATAATTGTCGAGATCGTTCGGCACTTCTGTCCCCTCCAGTTGCTTTTGAAGGAGGTGGTACCTTTTTCTGACATGATATGCCGCCATTTTTGGTTGTCTTTCTCTCGTAAATATTCCCTTCTTATTACCGCCAACTCTTATGAACGCTATTATAAAACAACTCTTGTTAAATAATGATTAATTGTTAAAAGATCCGAATGCCTCTAAAAGTATTGTACTCACTTTGAGCCGTTCGAAAGTCAGCGAAATTCCAAATGAATTCACCAATGAAGAAGCCTTCGTTTCTTAATCGGTCGAAGGCTTCAAAATGTTTCGACAATACTTCTTTTTGATATTCCTCGCTCCACACGTACTCGGGGAGCTGAAACGAGTTCGAAATGAATTCAATTCGTATATCATTTAAACGATAAATAATATCGCTGTGTATAATTTTACCTCGTGCAATCCGGCCATAGTATCGGCACCGTATTCGGACATGAGCACCGGTTTATTATATTTCTTATGCCATGCTTCAGCTTCTTCGATAACTTTGTTGACAATGGTATCGATACGGCCTGGGTTATTGTACCAACCGTTGTAGCGATTAAAGCTGATCACATCGAGATATTCGCCGGCTTTGTCTTCCTACGAATAAATGAGAAAAAAAGAACTTTTCAGCGATGGTACCGATATTAGTTTCTCCATAACGGACTATACAGTCACTTTGGATAATCGATTGTGTTTTACGAATGAAGTGTTTACGATTGCGCGCGCGTACCGGTCGAGTCGTTACCTGAACAGCTCGTGCCATGGCAATGGTAATGGGCCTGGTAGGATCGAGTGCTTTCGTGTGATGAGCGACTTGTTTAAAATATTCCCCAGCTTCGGGTAATTGCGTCCTGGGTTCGTTAGCGATTGACCACATGATCACCGAAGGACGATTCTTGTCTCTCCTTATAAGCTCCGATAACGAGTCTTTGTGACGCGCCAGGAGAATCGGTGAAAAGTTTTCCGTGTCCACGGAAGGACACTCGTCGATAATAAGAAAGCCCAATCTTTCAAAGTCAAATGCAAAATCATAATATGACACAGAGGGAAACGATATAATCTTATCGTTGACCATATATACATATATTTTCTGCTAGGAATTTCCCGACGAGTTTCTCCTGATTTGATCGAGATAGAAAATGAATATTTCTGTTTTCCCAATTTGTCGCAATCGAGGTAGACAATTTTTGTGTCGCGCGAGAAATTAGCAGATATAGAGCGGAACGAGAAGGAAAGCTTACCGATCGGCCAAGTCGAGTACTTCGTCGCTGTAGGGATAGTGGCTTGTTCTGTAGGCATTTGCGCCAACCCATTGCAACAGCTCGTAATCTCTAGCTACGGTGACTAAATCCAGACCGCGACCTCTGATGATCGAGTCCTCGTGTCTACCAAATCCCCGCATATACAAGGATCTATCGTTAACGAACACGCTGCTATTCGTCCAGACCAACGATCTGATTCCGATCGGTAACCTATAGACGTCTACTTTGGTCTCGTTCGCCACGGTCAAGGTGATCTGGAAATCGAAACATCGTGAATATATCGAGTTTCGCTAACAATACTACGATCTATGCTAAAAAAGTACCAACGTATCTGAAAGGGAGACTTTAAGAAGACAAAAAAAGAAAGAGAAGAAAAAAAGATATGTTGGGAACAATATTGATAAACAAGATTACAGTATCTTTTTTTGACGACACATTCGTTTTCTCCTCTCCGAAACACGCGTATCGACACGAAAAAGATTATATTGGTCGTAACTTCTTCTACTTACATATGCGTATGCATATACTACTCGTAAGGAGGATTAAACGAAACGAGACAATCGATCGCGAAACTATCGTTGAACAACGAAGCGTTCACTGTACCTCCAACGTGTACATGTAGCCTGGGGTAGAACTCATGCCCCTGGGCCACCAGAGTTTAGCGAATGGCACTCTGAGCGTACCGGAAAACCCATAAACTGGCTCCCTTATGGCCGGAGTGTCCTCGGCATCGAGCAGGCTCACTCTGCAGATCGGAATTTCGTGCTCGTGTAAACCGGCCGGCAGAATGTCGTATTTCACGGTGCCCATATCGCCGATTAATCCTGTTCTTACCGTGATGTCTTCGATGTACACACGCGGTCTCGTGTGCAGCAAAACGGGCCTGAAAGTTCAGAGTTTCCGCATTACAAATCCGATACGCATCCGCATCGACGCAACCGGAAGTTGCTCGAATCCTTTCCCTGATAAACCGATTGTGTCGGGCGCACCGGTCTATATCGTACTTTTGTCCCCCGGAATAATAACAACGATAACGATCTGCTCGTCGACGAGATACTTTCGACCGGTGAACAACAAGTGTGCGCATAGTTGCGTTATCGTGCCGGGCCGGGCCCGACCGACCCCGTTATGCCAACGTAGCATATTCTTTTTGGTTTTCTTGATTTTTCGTGATCGACTTTATCAGCTACTTAACAACGATCTTTGCATTATAGATATGATGGCATACATAAATTCGTGGAATTTTTTTTCTATGTAAACTGTAATTGTTAACAGAGAGAGCATGGCGTGTTTTGGAAAATTCAACTTTGTTACAAGTTGTTATATGCGGTTGTAAAAGTTATTCGTATAGTTGGACGCGTTTAAAAGTCTTAATAAATTCGTGAACGCGCGGCTGTGAAGTAGAAAATTTGATTTACGATGTATTTTTTGAAGTTTGTTTGGAATCGATCCGAGAGAGAATATGATTTTGTAATTAAGTTGCTGTTGCATGTATAACCGAGTGAAATGTTTCGAAATGAAAATTGGATTTATAGAAGAAATTTTGAACGAGCAACGTGGAATAATTGAACCGATTGGAAATCGGTATAATTATAAATCGTGCGTCGACTTGCCTGTGGATGCCGGCGTAATTGAAGAAATCGAACGTGTAACTTTGCACGTGTACAGTTCCGTTATCGACGGCGGTGTTGACAACTTTACCTTGCGGCACGCTTGTCTGTAGCAACGTATTGTCTACTGCGACAGTTATGCGATTTTTACCGCCGTAGATCAAATAGGACGATATCTCGGCTTCGAATGGCAGATGACCCATTTCATGGTTGGTCACCAAGCCACCGTTTATCCACTGAAATTCACGAAAAAAGGACGTATGGATTTTTAAACGTATCGAAAATGCGATCGAAATGCAAGGGATAGAAGATCTTTGGAATTTGGTTGGAAGCTGTACGCGATCGATGAATTATCGAATGGTCGAACGTCGCCGGTGTTCGCTTCGATGTCGGAGCTCCATTGGACCTCCGTATCCGGTCCTCTACATAATGTTTAGCTAGCTATCAATGTACCGGTCGTATATCGAGTTAAATCACGCAGTTAAGTCACAGATGAAGTTAAATCACCGAGGAGTCGGTTAGGTGCGAATAATACATTATAGGCGCTTTTAGCACGTTGGCTACCGGCGCGCGGCGTCGCGCGTCGCATTCTACCGTATGTACATACATATTTACGAGCGTCGTAATCTCGTACCTGCGCGAAAAAAGTCAAATTAACTGGTATCGAGCCTAACCGACATCGACGGATCTATAAGAGCCTCGTTGCGGATAGATGTGATTTAGAAGCGTCGATGGACCGTAGCGATCTCGTTGAAATTGATAAAGAAAGAAAGAAAGAAAGAAAGAAAGAAAGAAAGAGAGAAAGAAAGAAAGAAAGAAAGAAATTTGGTAACAGTCTCGTTAAAAATATCTTGATATTACCATTGTCAAGTTTTTCATCGTTTTCATAATTTGTAGATGCACGAAGCAACGGAGGATGCGTGCTATATTATAATTACAGGAAAAAGTACTTACCACCTGAGCCAGGTAATTCACCGAGCCAAATCTCACAAAAACCCTTTGTTCGCGCCACGAAGAAGGCACGAAGAACGTTCGTTGATACCAGACAGCACCGACGTGATCTCTAAGTTCCCTCGAAGTGGTAATATCGTTGTAGGACGAAGGCACTGGCATCCGCATTACTTCTCCTACCTGTGAAAATCACGTGTACGATAGGGTGCGCTTTCGCAGTCGGAGGCGACTGTTTTTCTCCGAATATGTGGAACTGATCGTTAACCGAACAATTATATGCAGGAATGTAGAAGTTTAGAGAACGATTAAGCAACCGTGATCCACCAAAATTCTAAACTTTCCGTCAAATCGGTATCCTCGTTGTTCGATTACTTAAACATTTTCCATTACAATTTAGGTACACGATCGAATAAAATCAGAGTTTGAAAATCAAAGACCACTCTCTATGTAGCGTATAATTATACTAGACCGTGGATTTTATGATTTATAATTTACTACGATATATCATCGTTCGGCTTTTTACGACGAAAACGAGAAAAATCGTATGCGAAACGTTAAAAGCGTTTAAAGAATTTTCAAATGCTACCGCGTTGTTACGTTCGACTCGACAAAATTGTTGGAAAACGAATCGTATTCTATTTCAATAAACTATGAAATTGTAGTCGAAATACATAAAAGTCTGAATAAATAAATAGATAAACAGATAGATAGATAGATAGATAGATAGATAGATAGATAGCGTAACATTACCTTGGACAAATCGCTCGCGTACCACGCCTCTTTGTAGCCTTTCAACGAATCTCCCGATGGGGAAACGACGAAATCCCATAGACCGTCCAGAGATTTTACCTAACAACATTTAACTTGAATCTTTCGAAGCAACTTTCTCCACGATTACGAATCTTTCAAAAATAATCGACCGATCGATCGAATTTTTCTCAAAGTCGTTGTTCCACGAACAACTCTGATACTAATTACCTCTCGCGATTCGCTTTCGCGGGGATAAAGCATTCCAGGTAGAGGAACGGGTGCATTTTCCTCCGGTGGCAGAGGTGCATATTCTACCGGTATTTCGGGATATTCGATTTCGGGGCCCGACTTTCCGGCTGTCGCGGAGCCGATCAAGAGAAACGCTAAACGCCACATTCCTGAAAGCAGCAAAATTATCTCACCGACAAAATCATCGGCTCTCCTTCGGAAATAACTGGGGACGGTTCATCCTGATTTACGATTACGCGAATGTCGACAAGATTTTCTTTCCGTTATTATGCCATATTATGGTACGTTGAAAAATATGAATCGCAGGTTCTATAGTATACGCGTACGAACATTTATAATATTATTCTACGAACGCTTCTTACGTCGCTTATCGCGTTTGTATCTTGCGATAAATATCCGATAAAAAGAATGCTAAGATATCGGATAGGTCGAAGACTGTCGTTCGATCGTTTATTTCTCCTTCTTTCGCTTTCTCTTGTTCCCGATTTGGTTTTAACGGAATTACGTATCGATCGTTCGAAATACGCGCGTATTTAAAATACTGAAAATATTACTTTCCAGATATTGTCGCTTAAAGTTCCGACCGCCGATTCTTCGTACGATACTTTTCACGATAGGGTGTTGAGAGAGCGAGTACAAAATATGATTCGACCCGGCGACGAACGACGACGCGGTTGGAGACACCACGTTGGGTCTTCCGGCTATCCTTTTTTCGCGAATGATCCGGCCACGGGGAGCAGGGAAGGGAAGGGAAGGGAAGGGAAGGCGATGCCCCTTCCGAGGAGACGACCGTGATATCGAGCTCTCGGCATTTAACCCGAAACTTGTCTTGGGAATAGATCTCGTCTTCGGTATCTTAGATTCGCGATACATCGTCCTTCGTCTTATAAATTTCAAACCGGCGTTTCGACCCGTGGCACGGTGTCGACACGGCGAAGACGAGGACCGCTCGAAACGAGATGGAAAGAGTCGGGGTGTGTACGCTATACGATATGGCATGGCACAGAGAATAGATCGAAAATGCGATCGATAACGTTCGGGGGTTTGTCGACCCGATCGAAACAAAGGTGTATAACAAGGTGTAGGTGTATTTCGCGTGTAAATCCCGTAGCGGTAGGGTGTCGCGTCGGCATCGGCATCGGTCGCAGCAATATCGGCTTCCTGGCACGGTGCCCTCCTACCTACTCCTACGAGAGCAGACTTCCCTTCCCAAAGCATCAAATCGTTTCCTCGTGTTGTACATGTGCAGCGTCGCCGCTGCTGGCCCTAATTCTTCGAATGGACACCGCGAGAATTTAACGCAATTGCTGCTGTCAATGTCTCTAGTTTTATACCTCTGTCTATGTTTATGTTTATGTTTGTCTATGTCTATGTCATAGGCATAGGCCTATGCTATGCCTATGTCTGTCTATACTAGCATATGCTATGCCCGTGCCCATGTTTATACTATAGCGGCGGGAACGATGCTCTCGCGAACAGTATCGATGGATCAACGGAAACCCACGCATCTTTTGCTTGCGAATAATCGGCAAATTTGCTCCAATTCGATCGCTTGCTTCTTTGCGAATCGAGATCGAACGGCTTGCAAATTTGTCTTCTTTCGTTCCGATCGTTATCGGACCGCGGATATCTATGCATTTATGGCATCCGCTGATTTTTCAAATGTAAAATATAATCGTATAAATTAAGAAGGTCCGATAGCATTTTTTATAGTTTTTAATTTAAAAATTCTAGCACCATCGTACGCGCACGTAGAATATCTGTGCGAGGGAACGATACGCAGCTCTCGAATACGGCTTCTTTTGCTCGGCTATTATAGAAAAATTTCAAACTAACGGTTGCGCCTTTTGTTCTCGGACAATATCTTTCTTCTTTTGCATTTCTATGGCTCGTTCGAGGAGACGATTTTCTCGATTCGCTTCGTTACAAATTCTCAACCAAGTATTTTTCCGATCAAAAATCGTACGAAAATCGCATGTATATATATAATAGAAGCGAAGTATCCGTAACGCGATCGAATAAGAAAATCAGTTCACACGAGTAATATTTCGGTCCACTAAATATGTATGTATAACGCGCGTCGACTGTTTTAACGCTAAACTATTACACGTATGTAGAACGTCCACCCTTTTCAGCTGCTCGACTCTCTCGATCGACTTAAACATTTCTGCTGTCGCGTGGTTACTCGATCGTCGAATTGCGAATTTTCATGCATCCACACAGAGCATGTTCGCTTTAGTTTCGGAAATCTCTCTCGGTAGTCGAAAGAAGCGACTCGTGGTAAAACAGTCTGCGTAACTAGGACCCTAGGACAAAGAGAATCTCATCTTTCGCTAAATGTTCGTCGCACAGTCGATTCGATTAATTATAATAACAACGATAATAACGACGACGACGACGACGACGACAACAACGATAACGATTGAACGCGTCTCGCGCGTTTTCGCAGAACAGTCTCGAGAAATTCGTGAGCAAAATAGTTTCCCATGAAAATCCAGTTCCGCGCGGCTAGGGTCAGAAAACTGATTAAACCACTCGATCGCGAGGTCAATGAAACTCTTGTTTGCGCGTCGAAGACGGCAACGATCCCACGAACGTGCTCCGATCGCTTCGGAGATCGTTCGATCGACTCCGAGCAGAAAATTTGCGCGTAGCTCTCTCGTCGGAGCCGGTCTATGCGCCGGTCCGCCGCGGTGCCGGTGCGCTGCTCCGGCTAACTTTTCGAGACTCACCTGTGTGCAAGTGTCAGGCCCGGAGGTTTGCCGAACGAGATTCTCGCATCACTGACGGATCGCGAATGAATCGTCGTTCGTGGATCGTGCGTCGATAAGCAGCGTGGACGAGAACTCGAATTCGCGGCGGTTTTTTGTGTTTCCGGCCGCGGTTAAAAACGCCGCGTGCCGCGTTGATAAAACTTGGCACGTTCGCTCCTGTTGGGATCTTACACGCCACTAGACCAGAGAGGATCGCTCGTGCTTATACCTATCCCGTCGGTCCGCGCCGCGCTCGTCGGCCGGCTAGGCTGCTCTTATATATCGGGTGTCCGCGTTTCAAAGCCATCGACGTCGCGCCGAACGACAACTTGGTTTTTCTTTCGCATCGTTGCCCGATTATCGGCGTATCATTTACATGCATAAATTTGCATCGATTATAGTTTCCTGTTTGGGCATTCGTTGTTTGTTCCCCGGTATCGTTCCAAATGAGTTTGAAGAAAATCTAAGATTTTTTTTCGTCTTCTCTTCGCGCGGGTCGTTGATCCGCGCGCCCTTACGGCATCTTGGAAGTTTTTAGCTCGAAGAAAATATGTCATGGTTTCGTCTACCGGCATTTTTAAATAGTCGAATCTCTGGAAAACGTCTACGTTGACAAATATAAATTATAGTTTCTTATCGTTGTTGCCGTAAACAGAATTACGCGGCAAAACGATTCTTTTCTCCTGCTAGTATTTGCGAAATGTACGTATTAGCATGTTTTCGATATACGTATATTTGCAAGCGCGGCACAACGAGTCGCTAAAGCTTCGATGCATCTTCCTAATTTCAAATATCTGGTTAAACCTCGCGTGCTCCTCGGCAATTCATGGCCACATATATTAATATTTGACAGCATTAATACTTGGGTCCGTTTGGGCACAAGTAAAATTTTCTTTTTCCCAACTATAAATAGTTACGGACCCGAGCCTCGTTGGCGCGGCTCGGCTCGGCGCGTCGGCGCGTCGGCGCGTCGGAGTGTGAACCGTGTTCTGTTTGGTGCAGAACCGAGCGCTAAAAACGACCGACGTGTACTAGTTGTTTTACGACGATAACGCGAGACTGAATTTATTTAGATTATTTAGAATTTCTACTAAAATGTTCACGCGCGTATGTTACCGTTCTATCGGAAATGGATTTCGAGCCTGTTTATGGTAGAATCGATCGATCGCACCGATGACATAGCATATTCGAAGTTTAAACCATTTTCTTCGCAGTATGTACATATACATAGTATACGCGCGACGATGCATTTATCTCGATTCTGAATCTTGACATCTGGTTGGCGTTCGTTCGTTCGTTCGTTCGTTCGTTGGTCAACCTGAATTGTGAAATTTCATTTCGTTTCGTTTCGTTTCGTTTCGTTTCATTTCAGTTTAATTTTAGCTTAAAAAGCTTTCGATGTAAACGTCAATTTTCTATTTTCTGGAAACGTTCCCTTTTTTCTATACTGTTCGGAACGCGTGTTCCCAGATAATGTAACATAGGCTGTTCCCCCGAAGAAGCTAATTATCCAGATAAACCAGATAATCCGGAAGAACATAAAATCAAGTACTATTTATCATCCGCTGTTAAATACCCTGCGGTTACTCGATTCTCGTTTCGCTCTTCCTCCTCCTCCTCCTCCTCCTCCTCCTCCTCTTCCTCCTCCCCCTCCTATAAATAATCCGAATTTCAAATGTTCACTTATAGTTGCGTTTCAATGTATCTCGATCCAATTTCAACGCAGACTCTAATGAAATTACCATCGTTGTTGCGAACAGCTAAATTTCACGATCGCCGCGAAAATCCCATGGATCGATGTAGCAAGCAAATTGCGACTTTCTCGATCGTTTATGCGTACCGCATTCCTCGTACCGCGATGGACACCGAATTATTAGAGAATTTTACGCGGAGGAAGTTATTTGTTACTCGTCGGAGTCGGTCGGAACTTTATAGGTCAGCCGCGTACACGAACCCAGCGAATCACGTTTGTCACATTTTCAGCCGCTTCAATTCATCCTAATTATTCGCGATTCACGCAACAACAATTTGCACGTTGATTTCAAGAGAATTAAACGGCGCGCGGAATGGCCCGGCCCGACTCGGCTCGGCTCGGCTCGGCTCGGCGCAGCTGCTTCGACCCGGTGCAAGCTTTAAATTAGTATTCCGTGCAAACAGAGATTAGTTCGTTGACACTTGTCGTAGGTATTCGTACCTGTGCTCGAGTATGTTTCCAGACTTCTTGCTCGGCGTCGTTCGTGGTTTCCCTATCCGGTGTACGTACGAGACTGCGCGTTATCGGGACGCGACGACGCTGTTCGAATTCTTTACGCGCATACACGCTTCGCGAACGCTTTATCTCTGCGCCAGAAGCATGTTTCTCGGTACCTTTGTATACGCGATACTGGAAACTTGTAATTACATATAGTACGTTATCGGATGCGCACGGTATTGATCGATCGCAATTAGTACAATTGCGAAAGATTGCGCGACGGCTGGCCGTTATCGAGACTATTAAATAAATAAGGGGTATAATCTCCGCGAAAATATTGTACTATACATAGTGCATCGAGATAATACGCGTTTACCGATTTGTTTGTTCGGGGACATCGATAACCTATAAGCGATCAAAATATGTATATTTGCGGTGGATCGCTAATCTTGGATGACGCGCGATCCACGTTGCGTTCGTTCGCTGCATTTGCTCTATCTTTTGCGGATCTTTGTCCGAAATTCCGACGCGATCGTAAATGCATTCTATCTCGTAGATGCGCTGAAATTATTTCTTTAACGAAAGAAAGAATAACGAAAGAATCGTCGTCGTTGTCGTACGATCGTTATTATCTCTTTAATTTCTAAAACAGCTGGTATTCGCCAGAAATCGATAAGATCGTAATCTAAACGTGCCGCGGTTCGCTGTTAATCGGTCGCTTGTTAAAGTATTAGTATATTTCAACTGAAAAGATAGAATAATTTGGAGAGTTTGAAAAAAGCGTATAATGGAAAAATTTCACGACACCGATGCTAAATATTCTCTTTATAGTTTCGTATACATTTAGACCCGTCTAATTGATTTAAGCGGATCTAGGATCTAGATCTAGATCTAGACGACGCGGCGTTTCTGTTTTATCGATACTCGATAAAATCGATATTCGCAACGAGAAGCGAACGAGGAGTAATATTTAAAAATAAATGACGGAAGATGCGCGATCGGTAATTCGAAGGTGTATCGTTGAAATGATTTCGATACGTCGTTGGAACGTTCGAACGATGTTATTTTTTTTAAGGACACGCATTAGTCGATAACGGTGAGAACTGTCGCGAGAATTGTCACCGACGTTACCACGAACGAGGTACAAGGGTAGACTCTCGGCACCCGATGTATTATCACGGACGAGGTATCGAAGTCTCGGCCAACGACCATCGTACGGACATTCGTGCGAGATAAGTTCTAAAATACCGACGTCGCTCGAAACCGGAGGCACGGAGGCTTTCACGCGCCACCTGCTTAAATGGAACAACGGTCGGCTGGTGAACTACGTAATCTATTTTACAATGTTGCCGGCTCTAAAAACACGATGTACAATGTTGCAACGTTAATTCTACCAGAAATGTTCGATTTTTATATAAATTTGTACATCGTCGCTATTATCATCGTCGTCGGCGTCATTGTGATTTATTAATTATTCTTCTGTTCGATTACACAGATACTGTTCATAGAATAATCGCATCGATACCATTAATTACATTTTCCATCTCTCAAACGCGTGCTATCGATATTTTTCACTTTATATTATTACTTTCGCGATAGCATTAATTTACGGTAACGTAAGTATTTACGTAATATTAATAATTGGCAGCAAGAATTTACATTTTACAATTATAAACTGCCATATTGTGGTACTCGCGCGTGTTCTATTCGAACGTACGCGATCGCAGCATCGAGCAACCGACAGAGAATTCGTATGGGATAGTCGCTTCTGGTCGAGCGAGAATATCTGCCTAATTTTACGTCGGCCGAGGGCTCGACTCGATTAATAAAAAAGCGAGAGACCGTCGGCAGACGGGAACACGGAGGTCACCATCCTTCGAAACAATCGGTGACTTCCGGTCTGCCGCGTCCGTTTCTCCGCGTCGCTTCGATACTTCTGCATCGATGTTTTTATTCTTCTTTTTGTTCGGTTCGTTCAACATTTTTTACATAAGTACGACGCGCTCCAATTTCGTTTCGGTACGATCGAACGTTCCGTTACGAACGTTACTCGACGACATCGACGACATCGACGACATCGACGACATCGACGACATCGACGACATCGACGCGCGCGCGAAACGTTCCGATAATTTGTCGATTTTCTTTTTCGGAAACTAAACGTTCGTTCTAAAAAAAAGAAAAACTCAAAGACCGCGAGCTAACGTTAAATTTCGAGTCGTATATCCGATGTTCGAGAACGAACGAGAGAAAAATATTGTTCGTATTTTCAAAAATTTTGCAAACATTCGATAACTTTCGACAAATTAAGAAACATCGTTTATTCGAATACGCGTTCACGCGATAGATCCCCGAGAAACTGTGCGGCGTTCGCGTTCGCGTACACGCCGACGTGCCACGATTTTTCACCGACGCTCGCGCGCGGCTGCATACCGACGAGAATGTCCAGTCCGACCAGCTCTCCTCGTCGCTTTTTTCCACTCGATCGTTGTCGCTTCATTCTTTCGAAACGATAAAAACATCTAGCGCGACACGCACCGAGGCGAAATCGATACCGAACAGAATCTTGTACGTGGATTATGGTCCTAGACCATAATCCAGGTCTACTTCGCGACCGTCGCGCGTTTCTGCAACGATGCGTTAGCGCCGGAGCTAGTTAGAGTCCAGCCGCTGTATTTCCGCCAGAACGCCCACGCGTCTTCGGCAGGATGAATTCATCGCGTATCTCCTGGCCTAACGCGGTTTTATCTTGCGGGAAACGGCTGGTCGTTGGCCCACGTTGCTCCTCTTTTAAATATCGATTCGACGATCGCCGCCTTTAACGCGTCGTTCGTTAGAAATATGTATCGGCCCGTTGAACGACCGCGCGCACGCGTCTCTGCCCTCGAAGCGTTTTCGTCGAATCTCTCCTTGCGGAAACGAATCCGAATCTACGCGTAGAGAATACGTTCGCCGGGCGCTCGCGTCGAATTGCGACATACGCAAAAGTTCGCTCGGAAAGATGTCCTAATTCGAAGAATCTAATCTAATCTATTATATTGTGTATCGTAGCTTCGACGCGTTGGAAACAAGCTAAATC